AATATAGAAGGAGAAATAGCTGCGCTTCTCTCCTGCAGTTTTTAGAGATTTAACTTATGCTCTCTGGGGGATTCAGGATGTTATTGTGTCAAAAACCTTCTTTCTGGGGAATCTTCCTTAGTGAGATGTCTATCTGCAACATGAGATTAATGTTTCTGCACGCAGGCAGCTAATGGACTGGAGTAGACTGGCCTGACTAGAGAGGCACTTATTCTCACGAGCTAAGGCAGCAGAATCCAGTCCCCAGTGCTGGGCCACTGGCTGGGATGCAAAGAAAAATAACTGCAGCCAAGAAAATACATCTGAACTGACATCTTATTGCTTTTAAATTATAGAACTGAAAATATATCTTGTGGCAGGTCAAAAAAAGTGGTGCTGTGGGTGTGCACTCTTAGAATCAAAGCTTTAAAGGGCGTTCCTGGCATTCAGAATAGTTCTGTTTTTCCAGCTGGAAAGAGGTGATAAGACTTTTAACAGAGAAGTGTTTCTGGGCTGATACCCATTCCTTTTGGCTGTTTGTTTTCACTTGATGAATGGTCTGACACCGAGAGGACAGTAGGATGTTTCTTTTCTCCTGTGAACTAGAAGCCAAATAGAAAAGCCATTTAAAGGTTTGTGGATTTAAGAGAGATACAGAAAGATTTAGATGTCAAAACACTAACAGCCTCTATTTTACAGACTTCAAATGAAAAATAATAAGATGCAGCAGAGAAAAAGTAATTTTTTGGTAGTAGTCCATCCTTGGGAAGCTGGAAATGATTCCACAGCCTTCAGTCTCTGTTGTGGCTAAAGGAGGTGGGTACAAGTGATGCTCAGAGTGCAGTTGGGACTAGAGAGTTTGGTTTCCAGGAAAAAACTCCATGTAATAAGTGGGTTTTAGCAGGCTTAAAAGTCCTGCACCAGACACATTGTGTGGTGCAGAATACAATCAGCTGCCTAATTTTACTGAATCCTGAATTGGGGCATTTCTTTACAATTCTGGGGCTCTTTTGGAACTCCCACATTTCTGGCAAAGCTTCAGACAAGATATGCCAAGTGAACTTTGGGCTTTACTGTGAACTGCATTTTGGAAATGCAGAATCATCTTCATCTGGTCCTTACTTGTCATCTAAAAAGTGTGGAGTGAATTAGACCAAATGGACTTACTCTTTCAATACAGTAAAACCAAACAAATAACAAATAATAAGGCTTGTGACTACTTAGCCCTTTAGTTATTTAACTAAATAAGTATATGACAATGGACAGAACCATGATAATGGAAAAGTAGAATTTCTCAGCAAGTGGCAGTATCTTAGATTAATTCTGGAGAGAGGAAAAACCTGCCTGTGCTATTTTCTACAGGAAATTTAGCAGAGAGAACTTAATGTTCTTTCTTGTCAGAGGCTGCAAGGAAAAGTTAACCACAACAGACCATTGATTTATGCAATCAAAACCCTTGCTGCACTGTGCACAGAGCTATTAAGGACAGAAAATACCAAGTTAGGAACAAGGGAATAGTCTCTGTAAACTCTTCCTTTCTCGCCTACTTTCTGAACACCAAATTGTGGCTGCAGAAACTATTCATATCAAGTTGGTTTTGGTTTGTTTTGCTGTTTTAATAATGTGACTCAGAATACCCACAACTTCTATGATGGAGAAAAGCTCAGGAAATTAATTTATCAAGTTCTTTAGCTGTCCTGGTACCAGCAGAGTATGATGGAGAAAAGCTCAGGAAATTAAATTATCAAGTCCTTTAGCTGTCCTGGTACCAGCAGATCTTGGAGCAGTCTGTTCTGTCCTAGCAACCAATACCAGTGCTGCAGAGATGCTGATTCAGAGGGGATGTTGGTGCTGACTACAGGAAGGGTGTCAGGGGACTCTCCACCATGAAAATACAACTGCTGCTGCCATGTACAGTATGTCAGTTGCCCAGTATTTAATCTTGGATTAAAAAAATTGATGCCTTACTATTTGAGTAGATGTAAACTGAGTCAAAGTTATTGCTACTGCAGTTTGGTTGAGACATTTTAAACTGAAAACTGGTGTTTTGCTTTCAGTTTTATCAAGCACATGAAGTATTTTGAAAGAATTAGGAAGTTCATGCCCATGTGATGCCAGCAAGCACATTGTTCCTGTGAAATGTGGGAATGTTATCCTTATTAAAAGATGGGAAATGAGGCATAAAAGTGCAAGAATTTGCCCCAAGACATACAGAAGGAGAGAAAGAGAAAATAACCCTTTAATATGTGGTCCTCAAATTTACAGCACCACTCACTTTGTTGTTTTTTAAAGTGATTCTCTGTGTTAAATATACTTTTAGTATCTACCAGATTAGTTTTGTAATAAAATTAGTTAAGTAGTAGAGCTGAAGAAATGGGAAAAGAGCATGAGTTGGTGCTTTTTTCCAGTGGTTTAGCTCTAGGAATAACCATTACTGTTATTAATAGTCAATGCTGGTTGTATATGTTAAAGGTGATAGAGGAATTAATGGAATTGACCATGATTAAGATACTACAACTACCAAGAAAAAGTTAATTTCTTGATAATCTGAATTTGTCTGAGTAGAATGTATTTTGATACCTCCAAGAGACAAGCCAATAAACTGAGGTACAAGGAATGGAGGTAATGGTGAGAGGTTGGGACTGGGGCCCAGAAATCAACAGCATCTCATTCAGTCAGGACTGTCCTCCAGGAGAGGATCTGGAAGTCTTGTAGGAGAACAACATTGCATTTTTCTCTATTAGTAAAGGCCAAAATGCAAACCATCTTACTTTACCTAAACAAGAACATTCTTTCAAGCACACGAAACAGAGATGTCAACAGCACATACAGCGTGTTTGTTGGAAACACCACTCAGAGCAGGTCAGCGTGGTGGCTGTGCCTGCGCTTTGAGGGACATCCTGACATCCTTCATCTGTGACAAGGGAAACTTGGCTGTGCATTAAGGGCTGTAGCTGGCCCACCCTTGGGCTCTGCTCCCTACCTCAACCTGGTTACCCAGCTTCAAGGCACCACAGTGGGGCTGCTGTGCACTGTGGCTTTAAGGCACTGCCAGGCAGCAGGTCCTCTCCAAGCTGGAGCACCAGGCAGCAATCCTCTGCTCTGCAGGGCTCGCAGCACTCGCTGCTCTCTGCTTAATAACATTTGGCTGCTTATAAGACATCTGAGCGGAGAGCTCAGAGCCCTCCAGCGCGGCAGAGTTCCACCTGGTGTGGGCAGCAGCTGCCACCATGGCAGCTGTGACAGGTTCTGCTGCCGTGAAATCTGCCAAGTCCGGCAAAAAGTATCGCACCGTGAAGCGACACACTGGAATCTACACCTACCAGGAGCCACCCCACAGGTAAGAGACCCTCCTCCCTCCAGGAGTGTAATGCCTTATCTAGCACAGGAGTGGGAACTTGTCTTTTCACTTTCATTTAGATAGAGTGTGATCACATGGACATGAGTATAAGAAATCTCTTTTCTTTCTGTTTGCAGATGTATTTCAAACCTCTTTGAGTTTTTTATTTTCTCAAAAGTCATGTTTCCTACTGAAACATAAACACTGTTCATAAAGGAGTGTAACTCCAATGAGTTCAGGGTATAGCAGGATAAGAAGTCTCTTTATTCTTTTCCTGTGTAACTATAAATTTCCCTTGACTGTCCCCTGCGGCTGAAGGGACAGGATTGCTGACCGATGGACCAGTGGTCTGATGAAGTGTGTCCTTCAAATGTTCTAACATGGCATGATTTAGGTTATGATTTATTTTTAAGTGATTAAAAGGTGGTGCTTTTTCAGCAAAATTGCAGGGAACTTTTCCAACAAGTACATAGCAAAACAATTGGGAAACTTTCCTGCTGGTGGCAGTTGCAGTACTTCAGATCCCTTCGTGTTATTCAGGGAGAAACAGTCACCACAGGTTTTTAGACCTAAACCTCTGCAAGAATGAATAATGCTGCTGTTTTATAGACAAACAGGGAATTGCAAGGGCTGGAGCTTAGCAAATGTGGTGACAGCAACAGAAAAGGCAATTCAATAATCATCCACAGAAATCTGCAGCACATGAATCCTTTTACAGGAATCTTTTTTTCTTGGTGTGTGGGGTCCCACACTCCCACCCCCCTCAGCACGGAACAGGATCAAAGGATGACTGTGGTCAAATCACCTGCTCCCCCTGTTCTACCAAGAAAATATTTTATCATTATTACAATCCAAATAAATGGCATGATAAGTAAATGAATGTTAAGTGCTCTTGCTGGAAATGTTTAGACAGAAAAATATACCGAGAGGCTCGCTAGAGTGATGTACAACATTTATGGCTGGAAGTGCTTGGAGAGGAAAGACTGAGATTCATGGTGGGATAA